TGAGTCGGAACCAATTCAACAGCACTTAACAACAACAACAACATAGCAGTGAGTCAGGATAGCTGGTGGCCTAGTGAGTTACAGTACAGCCACAGGAAAACAGTGATTCTGTCCGCTCTGGTGAGGACTGCAGCCTCTGAAACCCTAGGGAGCTCAATTAACAGTATTTTTGTGCTCTCCCACAGGGTCATCATGCACCAGAATCAACTTGATGATAGTGGGTTTGGTGGTTTGGGTTCTGTCAGTAAATTTAATAAAACGTGTATCCACTGAATGCCAATGAAGAAAAAAATAATCATTTTTAATGCTATTATTATTAACAAAGTTCCAATCATAGAAATCAGGAGTTTAAACCAGCACTGTCCATCAGAAATAAAATGTGAGTCACATGTGTAATTTAAAATTTTTTCGTGGTATTAATGATTGGTACTGATGATTGGTACTAAAATTTTTCGTGGTACTGATGAATCACAGTGATTATATGATTATAGGGTTTCTGAGGCTGTAAATCTTTACAGGAGCAGAAAGCCTCATCTTTCTCTCCTGGAGCAGCTGGTGGATTCAAACTGCTGACCTTGCAGTTAGCAGCCCAATGCATAACCCACGATTCCAACAGAGCTCCTTAAAATGTCTAGTAGCCACATTCAAAATGTAAAAAGAAACAGATAAAACTTTAATAACATTTTATTTAAGCCAATATATCTAAAATATTGATGCCTTTGAGTTGTGGTGTTGGAGGAGAATACTGAAAGTGCCATGGACTGCCAAAAGAACCAATAGATCTGTTTTGGAAGAAATGCAGCCAGAGTGCTCCTTGGAGGCCAAGATGGCTAAGCTTCGTCTCTCATACTTTGGACATATTGTCCGGAGGAAACAGTCGCTGGAGAAGGATGTCATGCTGGGTAAGGTGGAGGGTCAGAGAAAAAGAGGAAGACCCCTAACGAGATGGATTGGCCAGGTGGCATCATTGATGGACTCAAGTATGGCAGCGGTAGTGAGGTTGGCCCAGGATCGGACATTGTTTCGTTCTGCTGTGCATGGGGTCGCTATGAGTCGGCTCCGACTCGATGGTACCTAACAACAACATCTAAAATATTATTGCAAAATGTAACCATATTAAAAATTTGAGATATTTTGCATTCTTCGTTATAGACTAAGTTTTGAAATCCAATGTGTGTTTCATACTTAAGCAATTTTAATTCAGATTAGGTGCTTTTCTGGGGCCCTATAAAAATCTGTCACCACATAGGGCTAGTGGCTATCATATGGGCAGTGCTGGGTGAGGAGGTTACTGAGTATTTTCATACAGTCCTGTAAAAGGTGTACAGCAAACCTCTTGAAGAATATATTTCTACTCTCATTACTTCTACAATATTTAAGAAAACCCAGAATCAACTCAACGGCAACTAACAACAACAGGTCTTTGATTTACTCATGTTAGCATCCTCAACACATGCTCAAATATTTGCTGAACTGAAGTAAACTTGGGCCTAGAGCCTGGGTGAAATTTGGCTGGGTTTCCCCTCTTTTGTTCAGAATTAGAAACGCATTTCCTCCAGTTTAAAAGGAATTGACAAGATCCTGGCTCCTTGCCAGTAGGCCCTGCAACATTTTTGTGAAGGTCTAAGTGCTCTAAAGTTTTCTTATTCTAATAATGAACGTAAACTGAAAAGGGTGGGGTGTCCACCAGAAGATGCCTGATGCTGTAATTAAAATGGGGTCATTTGATTTTAATGAAAGACTTCACATTGAATAAATGCACTTTAATCTACATGGTATACACTAATGTTGATCCTAGGTCTGAGCTTTCTTGGCAGTTTCAGCAATTGCCTCACTTAATACACAGGATTCTTTTTCTGCTCTACTGATTCCCAACTGGGGGCAATTTTGTGCCCCACCTTTCAGGGATTATATGGCAACCTCTTATTTGGCAATGTCTAGAGAAAGTTTGAAGGAGCTCTGGTAGCGTAGTGGTTACGAATTGGTTTTCAAACTGCAAGGTCAGCAGTTCGAAAGTACCAGCTGTTCCATGGGAAAAAGATGAGGCTTTCTGCTCCCATAAAGATTTACAGCCTAGAAACCCAGTACAGGGTCGCTATGAGTCGGTTCCGACTCCATGGCACATAACCATCATCACCAGGGACAATTTGGAGTCCTGGTATGGCACTGTGGGTTAATGCACCAGAGTGCAAAGCCATTTGAACTGCAAGGTCAGCAGATCAAGCTCACCAGCTGCTCCTCAGGGTTGCTATGGGTCAGAACTGACTTGATGGCCCTTAACAACAACAGAGATGGTTTTTGTTGTCACAACTGATGTGTTACTGGCATGTAGTGGTGAAAGGTCATTAATGCTGCTAAATAACCTACCATACACAGGACACCTCCCACAACACACAAACCAAACCCACTGCGTGGTGATCGATTTGGACCCAGAGAGACTTCATAGGGCAGAGGAGAGAGCTGTTCCACAGGGTTTCCAAGGCTGCAAATCTTTACTAAAGCTGACTTTGTCTTGCGAGGCAACTGGTAGGTTTGAAAGGCTTTTAACCACTCTGTGCCACCAGGGCTCCTTCAACAAAGAATTTGTTGTTGTTGTTGTTGTTGTTGTTGTTAAGTACTGTGGAGTCCATTCCGACTCATAGTTCCCAAGGAACAGCAGTTGATGGGTTTGAATTGCTGACCTTGAGGTTCAAACCAACCTTGCGGTCAGGTGTTTGTTTATTCAACAGTGCCACACCAGGATTACTCAACAGAGAATTGTGTTGTTGTTGAGATGATCCAGACTCATATCAACACTGTATAGGGGTTCTGAGGAGCAACTGGGGTGGCTTTGAACCACCAATCTTGTGCTTCACAGTCCAGTGCTAATCCTACAGCACCACACAAGGGATCACATCGGTCCCACAAAGAACTGTTGTTTTTAAGTACTGCCAAGTCTGTTCTGACTCATAACAACCCTATGTGGGGTATCCAAGGTGTGGCTGGTGAGTTTGAACTGCCGCTTGAGGTCAAGTGCTTTATCCTATGGTGCCACACCAGGACTCCCCACAAAGAATTAGCCAGCCTGAAGTATGAATAGTTTCTCAACAAGGTTAAGAAACCCTGTTCTAACCCCTTGTTGGAGTCCTCCTGCTCCTTCCTTATCCCTCTATAATAACAATCATTAAAATAGTTTAGAAGTTCCTAGCTCCACTCCCTAGAAGAAACCACTAGGAGCAACTTGTTTTCATTCTTCTAATTGTTGTCTTTATGATGTAAATGAAGAGTGGTTGTCAGTTCTGGCTGCACTAATCACCTGGAAAGGTTTTATTAAAAGTGCATATGGAAGGGGAGGGGGTATGTGACTGCACAGGGTTATTTTGTAACGGTTCCACCGTTCATTGTAGTACAAAGTCAGGGTGGAAAATCACTATTATATATAATTGTTGATCTTCTAAGCCATCATCTTAGATCAGTTTTGACTCTGTATTATGAAAGATGTGGGCAGTATAATACACACTCTGCCCTCTATCCCTTCTTCCTATTCAACCTCCCAGTTGTACTCATTCCATTGTTTTCACCCGTGTAAGCCTTATGCACTTCATAGACTTGTATCCTATGCTTTGTGTATGTTGATGCATAAGTGGACTAGTGCAAGTGAAATTTCTAAATTTCAAGGGAAAAAGCAAGCATTCTAAAAATTTCTAGCAAGAAAAAAATAAGGTACCTCCCCAGGAACAAGTATCGGACCAGCATTATTGCTAGATAATGAGGCCCATTAGAACATAGAGTTAAATACTTATAATATCATAGAATTATAAATGCTGTCAGCAAGTTTTCAGTCATTTGGAATTCACCTATATGCTCTGTATATGCTCTGTATGTAGGTGGATTCTAAATAATTAAAAACCTGTCCTGCCCTGGTTGTTTATCTGTTCTTAAGACCATGCCATAATGAAATGGTCCAAAGCGGGACTCACCGCTGGCATCTTGAAATGTATGTTTGTACTAAAATCTTTCTGTCTGTCTTCTGTATTTCAGCTACCCCACAAGATATGAGCACTCTCTTTGTTACACTGGTAGAATTCCGGTCTTTAAAAAAGGATATATTTTGTTCATTACAGTGGGAAACTGGGAGTGAGAGGAAGCAGGCAGGGCAAGAGTGTAGCCTTCTGTGGGGAACTGGGCACCTCCAGAGGTTGTGCCACTCTGACCTGAAGTTACCTTCAAGGAATTCTGTTTTTTAGATGACATGAAATAGTACGAGTAAACTTAAAGTGCCCAAATGCTGATGGGTGATAAAGGTTTGTATCCATTCATAATAAAAGGAAAACATGAGGTTATATTGAGATCAAGGAGCGCTGGTAGCATAGTGATTACGAATCAGTTTGCTAACCTCAAGGTCGGCAGTTCGAAACTACCAGCGGTTCCGTGGGAGAAAGATGAGGCTTTCTGCTCCCGTAAAGATTTACAGCCTCGGAAACCCTGTTGCAAGGTCACTGTGAGACTGAACCAACTCCATGGTACTTAACAACAAAAACAACATATTGAGATCATGTCCTTTTTACTTTTTCCTTAAAGATAACAGATAATAATGGATATTTTAGGGAGTCCTGGTGGCACTGTGGATTAGTACGGCATTTCAAACCTGCCAGTCGCTCCTCTGGAGAAAGATGAAGCTGTCTGCTCCCATAAAATTTCATCTCAGAAACCCTACATAGGGTCACTATGAGACGGAATCGATTCTATGGCAATGGGTATTTTAAATGTCCTTAGTTAACAAAATGAAAAGTTGATTGATCTATGTCAAGCTTTTTTTCTGCAGTTTTAAGAAATTCATAAGTCTGTGACTGCTAGACTAAAATATTTTTATTTCAGGTTTAAATTGTTACCATTATTGCTTAGAAATGAAAATATGATCTTAGCTAAGGTTTTCTTTATTCAAGTACTTTTTTAAAAGAGCTGTATTAAATTTGGGACAAGGAATTTAATAAAGAAATCTTTTCTTTTTATATAATAAGGCTTTTGCAGATATGCTGAAAGTAAACAAGACCTTGAAAAGTTTCAACATAGAATCCAACTTTATCACTGGAACTGGGATTCTGGCCCTGGTAGAGGCACTGAGAGAAAATGACACCTTGACAGAGATCAAGATCGACAACCAGGTAAGGGAGAGTGAGCAAAGCTACCTCAGGGCATCAGGTGCCGTGCAGAGTAAGCTAGACAGCAAAGTCCCCTGATGCTGCTTGACAGCTTGGCCATTTTGTGAGTTGTAACTCTTCAGGCTTGTAGGGGTTGTGTGGGTGAGCAGGTGAATTATTAATCATGGCACAGTGGGAAATAAAGATCCCATTATGCTCCCTAGTCAGGCCAGTCAAGCTCCAGAGAATGAAAGGAAGTGGCATTGGAGGTCTGTTGTTGTTGTTGTTAAATGCTGTTGAGTTGGTTCCAATCCATAGCGACCCTGTATAGCGTTTCCAAGGAGCAGCTGGTGGGCTTGACCCATTGATCTTGTGGTTCAATCAAACTTAGTTTGCAGTCCATAGCATTAACCAACAACACTCTAGCTAGTCATCATCTTCATTACCTCAGTCCAATCCTGTCCCAACCTTTCTTTTGCCTCTTACTAGGACCTTGGCTAGAAAGTAGAGTGGATAGGCCCATTCTCAGATTCCTGATCCCTGGTGGAGTCTGCCAAAGCCAAAAGCTCATGCCTGGGCTCCTGTAGATGGTGCTGTCTACAAGGAACCTATTTAAAGGAATCAGGTCTAAAAGATGGTCTTGCTTAAAGTAGCACACCTCACCCATAGTGTGGGAAGAATCTTGATTCTGTTCCAGCACTTAGGTTCCCAGTCAAAGCAAGCTGCTTGTCCCCAGAGCCACCATTCCTTGTAGCTTTTTCCTGGCATCAGACTGCATTAGAGTAGCTTTGCTGGCTCTGTCAGCTCCTTCCCAAAGATGGTGACAATATTATGAGCTGTGATGCTGTGCCTTGCTCCTTTGGTTACAGGGAAGTGTCTGTGATAGGGATTCAGTGGGTCTGAGGGTCCAGACACTATATCATGGGAGAAAACACCCTGGAATGGACTAGAAAGAGGAGAGAGCAAGGAGACTTTGCTGTGAATGATCCCCTATGTGGTAATAGGAGGTAGAATGGGGGGATGTGACTGTTCAAAGTATCCCTTGCATTCCTGAGGACCTCATCTGGGCATTCTCTGGGCCAGACTCTCTAAGATCAGGTAAAACCACAGGGCTCCATCTAGGACATCTTGGAAGGTCTGCTCCATCTCTATGGCCCAGAGCAAGTGACTATTGCAGTGCAGGTCCTCTGCTTAACTCCTCCCAGGGGTAAATTGCAGGGAAACCCCAGTGGAGACAGGTCCTCCTTCCTTCTCACCCATCCCCAGGAGGAATGCTTCACCAAACCCATTTTCTCAGATGTGGAGAGGTGTAGAGCTCCCTGGGAGGCGTGCACAGGAGGCGTGCACACTCAGGGGATCCTGGTGTGTGTGTCCAGCTGGTAGTAAATCAGTGGGATTTACAGGGCAACAAGCTAGGAATATGAAGTGAATGAAAAGAAGTGATAACGCAAGGATATTTGTGGAATAGACTAATAGGGGAGACGTTAAGTAGACTCTTAGTAAATGTTTCCAGAGGGATCTAAGATAGCCCAATCCATAATATATATACCTTTTTGATTGGATTAGGCCAATTTAAAACCTCATGTTTGTGATAGTTTATTCCTAATTTTCTGTAAGATGCCACCTAATTAGAGTTTCCAGATAAAATACAGTTAAAATTGAATTTTACATGAACAATAATTTTTTTTTTAGTATTAAGTATGCCCATGGGATATGGTATTGTTGTGTGCCATAGAATATGTACTGATTCATAGCCACCCTGTGTAGGGTTTCCAAGAGCAGTTGGTGGGTTTTACTGAAAAAATCATTCATTGTTTTTCTAAAATTAAAATTTAACTGGGTGATGCTTATTTTTATTTGCCACACCTGGCAGTCATCTGTATATTAGTGAATGAGCTGGGGTCCTAAAAATTTACAATAAAACAGTTCTTTTTAATGCATATGACAAAGACCCCGAGATACAAAGTCTGACTTGCTCTCTTAAATCTCCTTTAAATCATCACGCCCTGGCAGTCATCTAGGAATGTATTTGTGTAATTTTTCAACTTTAGTCTCCCAATGAGCCTCTGAAATAACTTCTCTTTATTTGTGACAAGAAGGATTAAGATATTTTAGAGCAACTGGAAAAACTCTTTGCTTTAAGAATGAGGAAGTTGACCCAAAACTTGTCCACCACCCAGATTTTATCCATTGACTCATAGACTGTTAGAAATAGATTTCTGTTTCCTCATCTGTATAATGCTGTTGTTGTCGAGTCAGTTCCAACTCTTGGCGACCCTCTTTAGGGTTTCCAAGGAACAGCTGGTGAACTTGAACCACCAACCTTGCAGTTCAAATGGCTTTGCAGTCTGGTGCATTAACCCAAGCGCCACACCAAGACTCCAAATCAAGGAGTTGTTGTTAAGTGCCGTGGAGTCAATTCTGACTCATAGCAACCCTGTACAGAGTTTCCGAGGCTATAAATCTTTTCGGGAGCAGAAAGCTTCATCTTTCTCCCGCGGAATAGCTTGGTAGTTTTGAAGGAAGTATGAATTTGCCTTTAATTACAAATTAAAGCAACTGGTAAGATTGTTCGCCAAGATTTAAACTACTGGAAAAACAGCCCTCAATTTATAGAAAAGGGACTCAGAAATTTGGGGATATAGATTTGGGTAAGTTTTTTTTCTTCTTTTTTTTTTTTTTTTTAATGTTTTATTGTGAATTATGTGATCATTTACATGGGAGATCATTAGCTTTACATTCATCCTAGTGTATATCGTTTCATTGCCATGGTTACAGTCCCCTCCGTGCATCATCAAACAACCAAAGGGTATACCCTGCAAGCCTGCCCCTCTGTCCTCAGCACACAGCCCCTCTCCCTCTCCAGGTCTAGAGTCCCCAGCTACTCCATCTCTCCACGTCATCATCTCTGCCTCCATCTCTGGCGTCACTGTTTCTCTGGGTACGGCCTCGCACTCCACTCTTCTCCCTTGATGGTCCCAGGGACCTCCACTGCTGGACTGCAAAGTCAACCGCTCCTAGATTTAGGGTAACTTTCTATCATTACTTTAATACTTGAAGTTTTAACATAAACCTGCAAGTTACTTAAGTCATGGATTCCAAATTCTTGAGATCTGTGAGAGGAAGTAAAGGTGTTTTTCTGCTGCCCCTTGGGTGACACCATGTTGGCCCATCCAAGGGCACAAGCTACAGCTATGCCTACTGTCAACCTTAGTTCTATTCTGGAACTGAAACCAGTCTTGGTGATCACCTTTCAACCAAGCAATAGGCCTATGGGCAGTGACACCAATATGGAATGTACTCCCCAAAACAATCAACAGTACAGACCTAAAGGGTAACATTTACCCAATAAGAAAGCTCAGAAGACAGGAAGGGACTGGAAAGAAGGATGAATGGAATGAGGAACACAGGGAGGAAATGGGAAGAATGATGTTGCATTGAGGGAACTGCAACTAATGTCTCAAAACAAAATGGGTAGAAATTGCTGAGTAGAAAACTGATTTACTCGGTAAACTTGCACCCAAATCACAATTACAACCAACAAAGAATCCCCCCTGTTCTAATGTGTGCTCAAGTTGCTCATGAAACTTTGAGGTCAGTATCTCTTACCTGTTTTCTGCCTCACCCTCCCATGTTACCTGTGCTGCTTAGAATGCTGATCTCTACTCTGTGGATACCTAAAGCTGTATTGACTGACTGGAAATAACCACATTTTGTTCAACTCTTGGAGAGAGACTTGTTTGACATGTTTCTGGTCAGAAAAAAAGGAGGAGCAAAGATATAACCCTTAAAATTTGCCTTCAAAAACTTTTCTCCTTCATCTACTCCTTGCTTAAATGTTCCAAATTTAAAAGATGTTATTTTCTAAAACACAAAATAATAAAAATTGCACAGTGATGGCGCAAAAATAGACCGAAAGAGCAATAGGGTACAGTCCAGAAACAAACTCGAGTACACTTGAGAATTTTGCATCAAGATGACATTTCAAATCAATGAGTGAAGAATTTTCTAGCAATTCAGAACAAAATCAAGTTGAGTATCTTCTTATACTAAAACTTATTCCAGATGAAAAAAGATTGGAATGTTTAAGTATGTAACATCATAAAACAAATAGAGGAAAGCAAGAGGGATAGAGAGGAGGCTTCCTTAAAAAAATCATAAAATCTAGAGATTAATACATTTGACCATGTAAAAAAATATAAATATCTTTATAGTAACCAAAAAGGAAGTAAAAACAAAGAAAAGTACTTGTAGTACACTTGGCAAAGGGCTAATGTCCTTATCTATGCTGCTGTTGTTAGCTGTGGTCGAGTGGGTTCCAACTCATAGCAACCCAGTATAGAGTTTCTGAGGAGCTGCTGTTGGGTTTGAACCACTGACCTTGAGGTTCAAACCCACCTTGCAGTCCAGTGCTTATCCTACAGCACCGCATCAGGACTCCTTATCTATAAGAACTCACAAATCAATAATAATAAATTTAAAAACAGGAACCACAAGCTGGTAGAAAAATGGGGAAATGCTTTGGATCAATTCTTTCCAAACAAAAAATGATGGTGACTTATTTCCCTTTTGCTATTATAACAGAAATACTACAAGTGGATGACGTTAACAACAGACATTGATTCACTCACAATTTAGGAGGTTAGAAGTCTAAATTCAGCACACCCACTCTAGAGGGTTTTTCCTGTGTGTCAGCGGTACTCCTTGTCTCCTTCTGGCATCTGTGGGCCTTGTATTCCTTGGATATGTCCATGTGTCTTGGCAGCATGGGTCTAGGAGGTTCTCAGCATAGGTACTCCCTGTCCAAAGAAAGCACTCTATTCCTGGCTCTTCTTACATGTTGGTAGTCAGGTCCCTCATTTCCCACTCACTCTCTCTCTGCTTCTCTCTTGTAAGGTAAAAAAGGATGCAGGCCCCATCCAGGGAAACTCCCCTTATATTAGGTTAGGGCTGTGACCTGAGTAAGGATGTTGTATTCCACCTTAATCCTGCCTAATAAATATAACAAACGTAACTTAATCCCTCATTAACACATGTTGTTGTTGTTATGCCGTCAATTTGGTTCTGACCCATAGCGACCCTGTACACGGTTTCCTAGGAGCAACTGGTAAACTTGAACCACCAGCTCAGGATTTTCAACACATCCCAAAATGCAGAACAATTACATCAGATCACAAAAAGGGAGGACAGCCACATAATACTGGGAATCAGGGACCAGACAAGTTGGCACACATTTTGGGGGGGATACACTTCAGTCTATGACAGATGGGCATAAGCATAAGAAAATAATTATTCTTTTGATAACTTGAGACATACAAATTTAAATAATTTGTTTTAAATACAGTAAGTGAAATATACTTTTCACCATTTTGGTTGACAGAAATTAAGACTAATAATGACCTATGTTGTCTAGGGTCCTGGTATGGCCCTATAGAATAAACACTGGACTGCTAATGCAAGGTTGATGGTTCAAACTCACCAGCCTCTCCTCAGAAACCCTATAGAGGGTCATTATGAGTCAGAACTGACTTAAGAGCACTTAACAATAACAATAACATGTTGTCTAGGGCACAGAAAACAGTAACTCTCATATACTGAGGTTGGTTAGTTTGTTATGTGCTGTGGAGTCGGTTCCAAACCCTGTATAGGGTTTCTGAAGCTGTAAATCATAAAGAAAGCCTTATCTATCTCGCACAGAACAGCTGGTGATTTCAAACTGCTGACCTTGAAGTTAACAGCCCACCTCATAACCACTATGCTACCAGAGCTCCTTATACACTGTTGTTGTTGTTGTTGTTAAGTTCCATTGAGTCAGTTCCGACCCATAGCAACTCTGTCTAGGGTTTTCAAAGAGTAGCTGGTGAGGTTGAACTGCCGACCTTGCAGTTCAAACAGCTTTGCAGTCTGGCACATTAACCCACAGCACCACACCAGGTTATTGTTGTTAAGTGCCGTGGAGTTGGTTCTGACTCATAGCGACCCTGTACAGGGTTTCCAAGGCTGTAAATCTTTACAGGAGCAGAACACCTCATCTTTCTCCCGCGAAACAGCTGGTAGTTTCGAACTGCTGACCCTGAGGTTAGCAGCCTGATTTGTAACACTACGCTACCAGAGGTCCTTATACACTGTGGAGGAGTATGAATTGTTACAACCTTTGAGGACAATTTGATAATATATGCAAATTTGAAGCATTGCTTATCCTTGAATTCCAGCTTGAATTTTCCCTACAGGCACACTTGCAGAAATGGTCAAGGATAAAATGTTTGTACAAGGAAGTTCGTGGCAGCATTATTTGAAGTAGTGGAAAACAGAAAGCAATATAATATAAAGAAATCTATAGGGTTTCTGAGGAGTGTTTTTCAAAGTAGTGCATATCTAAGTAAATTCTTTTACTACAACGGAATGCTGTTCAGTTGTTTGAAAGAATGAGGTAAAGATATATTTAGCAACACCAAAAGATGTCTTTAATCTAATGTTAAATGACAAAAAAACATATTCCTGAACATTCCAGTATAACCTACTTAATGTGAAAAAAAGTCTAGGTGTCCATGTTATTGTATAGATACATTAATTAATAGAAAATGTTTAGAAGACTACAAAATACATATGAAATCGGCTTTCTCTTTGAAGAGCAGGCATTTGGGGGAATGTGGGGGAAGGATCTTTTATATTATACTTAACTTTTTTGGTTTGCTTTTTCTAAACAAGTCTGTACTTTTACTTTTTAAAAAATGAATACATTATTAAAAAATAGACTGTCCCTTAAATTTCCTTTTAAATACCAATATTTATGTGCCCCCATTTAAAAACATTCTGTTTTATTTTTTTATTATTATTCTGTGTGTTGATTTAAAAAACAAAATGGAAACTCTTCACACTGAATTGTAAAGTCTAGAGAGTTTTCCTTTACTCAGTAGCCTACTTTAGGTTCGATAATTTATCTGGCAATGGGCATGATTTAAACCCTAATAAAGCCTCTTGGGGTCTCCTAGTGAGACTGCTGAGAGAGTCAATCATTTTTAGATATGGATCCCAGAATAAAATATTCAATAATTGGCTTGATGGTTATAAGACAGTTTCACTATGTAAAATCATTCTTTGTTAAATCACAGAAACTGAAGGGGCTTGGAAATACCAAATATTGGTTTGTCTTTGGAGTCATGTTTTCTTCATAAATAATTTGCTTAGTTTCTTAGTTTAGGATGCCAGCAGCAGATTCAGCTGTCTGCTGGATTCTGCATTTAGACACAAAGCAGGACTCAAATGACTATGTACATGTTGGGAGACAACTCAGGTGACTTTGTCCCTTTCAGTTTGATACTTTTCTGCTTGCCTTATTGTCAGAAAACACAAGCAAAAAAAAAAAAACTATCTTTCCCACGCAAGTAACTTTTTCCTCTTTCTTCCTGGTGATCCCATGTGTGTGTCTATGTCCACAAACCAGAGACAGCAGTTGGGAACAGCCGTAGAAATGGAAATTGCCCAGATGCTGGAGGAGAACTCAAGGATACTCAAGTTTGGATACCAGTTTACCAAGCAAGGGCCGCGAACAAGGGTGGCAGCTGCCATTACAAAGAATAATGACCTGGGTAATGTGACCATAATTGTGTGTGGTTAGCAATCAGAAGAATGTGATGACCATTTTTCCTTTTCAGATCAACATACCATTCATTGCATTGACCCTTGGTGTCGTTTGGCCCTTCATCAAAGGTGTACTGTCACATGGCCATGGGACTGCCCCTGGTCCTCACACCATGGAAGTTTCGTCATAACCTCATAACCTCCTCTTAAGAAAGAACTGTTTGTTCTTTTTTTTTTTTTCCAGGAAGCCTTTGGTTTTGCTTGATTTCCTTTTTATATTTGCTTCTCTTTCATTTTTTATATAATCACTCTCTGCATCGAAGAGAGACGTAGAGACATAGAGTCCAGTTAATTTATGTTTAACTTCGGAGTATGCTTTTGCACTTATGTTTGTATTGGGGCATGCCATCAGATACTCTGATAAACTTAGAAGGAGCTGCAAAGCTTTTTCAGTAACTCCTTCTTTAATTCTTCCTGCTGCCCTCTTCTTGCGGAAGATTCTGTAGCATTTCTTCTAATTAATTGAAGTGGTGTATGTCCTGATCAGCCACAGCACAGAAGAATGAGCTAAATTGGAGAGGGTTGGTATGGGGACATCCTAGCCATCTGGAGCAGCATGGCAAAGGGACATCCAGGAGCAGAGAGTTCACAGTCTACCACCAATGGCAGGTCTCAGTCCCCAGCTTGAGGTTCAGGGTCATAATGCCAGTACTTGGACAGGGGAATTGGCAAGAGTAGACCATAGGGCAAGGTGTTAACAAGTATCGTGTGGGCCGTGAGAAGAATTTGAATAAGGGAAGAAATAGAAACCAGGTGGTAAATCCAGAAGTGGATAGGCAATCCTCTAGACACACTTAGCCCCTGGTGTGATATTTGGCATCACAGGGGCTGGCAGTGCTGACGAGTGAAGTACAGAGGGTGAGCTGGAGGCAGCTCAGCAAACAGGGCTTTGGCGCAGGGCAGAGACAGCAGTCAGAAGGTACCTGGGATCCACAGCTGCGCAATATGGAGACCTAAGGAAACAGGCACAACAAAAGACTTGGAATCAATGGGGAGTCAATCCTGAGCTTCAAAGCAGTAGGAGAAGACAAGAGTTTTTGTCTAATTTCCTGAGCCTCAGGTATGAGCAGGCTGAACTATTTAAAGCAGAGAGTTAGGGCAGGACCATCCAGGAAGGTTAGTGTAAGCCTTCTTCCTGGAAGCCTGAAGGGGCTTAAAGGGGAAGAGAAAAGTTGCAGAAATTGGGAAACAAAGGTTTTCATTGGGATATTTCTTTTGATACTAAGTATCAGTTCATTTCTGAGTTTACTAGTTATCTATCTGAACGTTCCTTGGTTGATACTTAGAAAGTTTAATTTAAAATACTTTAGAGCATTGACCTTTTATTTTGCAGAGCTTCCTGGTCTTCAGACTGTAATCTGAATTAAATTGTGATTATATCATCCTAGGGGATTCAAGCTAGTTGGTAACTGAGTTGCAAAGAAACTGAGAGAAAGAGCTGCTGTAGCTAAATCACCAGGAAAATAATTGAAATTTCAGTTACTGTTTAAGGGTTTTATTCTGTACCCTCTACTCCAGGAAAATTGAAGAGTTCTGACACAAGTTTCCAATTATCAGACTTACCTTTGTTGAAGCTCAAATTCCGAACCAAAAAATGTAAATGCCACCAGACACTGGATGATTTTATCATTTCCATTTATTGTCATAGGTAGTAAGGTAATGAAATTTAAGATAAACATATCTTCAAGTGTGTGGAATTGCTGTTTTGTGTGATTCATGTAATTAAAGGACTACCCCTTTAATTTTTTTCTTTTACAACGTTTCTCTCTTTCTTATCTAGTGCGTAAGAAGCGAGTTGAAGGAGACCGGAGGTAAACTTCCACAAGAAGAAGCTAAGTTTTATCTCAGCTGCTGCTGCGTGGCCATTTAGAAACAAACAAACAAACAAACAAAAACTCTTCTCTTTCCCCAGTGGGACCATTTTATCAAAGGTTATTTCCGTTAACTACACAGCTAATAATTTTTTTTTTTTCATTTTTAGTACAACTTATTTATCTTGGATTTTTAATATATACAGTTGTTTTGTTCGGTCATGGGCACCTCTGGCAACTTGCAGAAGTGGACTCTTGGCAGAGCTTAGTGATAATAATTGAAATGATTTTAACCACTTTCATATCAGGTTGTCGTACTTTATTACATGAACTTTTTTTTTAATCACTCAATTTAGTATATAAGATGTGTTTTTAACTGTGATCATGATAGAATCCTATCTCTGTTTACACACATAGCTTTGAGCTAGGCTAGATGCTTCAGAAGTGTTCTACTGACCACAGGAAAAGTTAGTATTGCCAATCTTTTACTGGGGGAGAACATATGACCAACTCAGAACAAATTCTCCCTTAGTTCCAGAAAAACCGTTAACTGTACATGCCCCACTAGTGGAAGATCATTGTATCATCCTGCTGTCCTAAAAGCAAGATAGCAGGATGATACTTTAACACAGCATTAGCAAATAAACATACATTATGTATTAACACACCAATACTGCTTCAAGCCAAATTCACAGGTAGCAAAATGAATTAACACATACACCTTTACTGACTATTCACATAAATTGGGTCTTTAATGGGTAACTATTGTCAATGTTTTTAAGTTTTCTAGACATGATAGAAAAATGGTTGATGTTGAATAAGAGGGAGGCTTTAGAAAAAGCACATTCTTAAATAAATAATTGCACCTTCTTAAGTTGCATGACACATAGGATTACATTATTTTGGAAATTTTTATAAGCATTTGTGTCATGATTGTAACAGGATGAACTGTGAACATTCAGGTTAATTATACAGATGTCTTATCCTTAGGACATGATCCATTCCAGACATTAGGAAATAATTTTTTCAGATATTTGTTATCTTAGGAAGAAGCCTGGGAAAGTCCCACTGAGAAGATGAATACATTTTAATATGAATTCCCCTTTTAATCTAGCAGTTAGCACCAAGTGGAGGAAATCGGTGCCTGACTGTGACCTTTGGCCTGAGGCTGTAATTGGTGGGACCCTCTGACATGGCCTCAGGTACACTTTGCTCCTTTCTTCCCTTCTTTCCTCCCCACTAGTCTGTTTTTTTTTCCTTCTTCCCCCAGGATTTATGAACTTTATAAAGATGCCATTCCTCATGCTGGTGACCCCTTGAGCTAAAAAGATTGCTAACCCAGGCAGAAGGTGGGCCTAGTCCAAAATTTGCTTAATGATTAAGTGTTCCTGAGTTGCTTGGTGTAGTATAAAACAAGTTAATGGGGGAGATAAGTATATTATTTCATTTCATTTATAAAGTACACAGGTTCTGTTTGGGATAACCCAGACAAGACACTCATTGCCATTGGATCAATTCTGACTCATAGCAAATAAGACAAACTAAAACTGTCTTGTATCATTTCTAAGGCTGTAATCGCTACAGAAGTAGATTGCTATGTCTTTCTTCCATGGAACAGCTGGTGGGTTTGAGCTGCTAAACTTTTGGTTAGCAGATAAACACTTAACCACTGTGCCACCAGGGCTCCTTCTTTTAGAAATGGTGGTAGTTATGGGCCACCACATCGGTTCTAACTCATTGCAACCTTGTATAGAGTTTCCAAGGCTGTAAATCTTTACCAGAACAGAAACCTCACTTTTTTTCCTGCAGAGCAACTGGTAGATTCAAATCTGTTTGCGATAGCCTTGATAAAACTGACATCTATCTCTAAGTAGCCACATCTATGTCTATATAATCTTTTGAAACAGCTCGTTAAGGTGTTTACATTTTTTGAAGGGATAGTGAGCAGAACAGGCTGACACTTTGGGAAACCTAAAATCCTTGAATTAGTTCATGGCTGGTGGTGGTGGTGTTGTGCCGTGGAGTCGGTTCCGACTCAGAGTGACTCTGTACAGGGTTTCCAAGGTTGTAAATCTTTACCAGAGCAAAAGGCCTCATCTTTCTTCTGTGGAACAGATGGTAGTTTCATACTGCTGACCTTAAGGTTCGCAGCCCAATTTGAAACCACTACACTATCGGAACTCCTTAGTTCATGGCTACATCTCCCTAAAAACATAAGTGCTATTGAGCAGTCTTCAGCCTAATAAGACTCCCTTCCCTCTTGCCCATGTAGGTGTGGTACATTGCAGCAACTCATACAGGTTTGTCAAGTGTTAAAATATTCAAGAATCTTGCAAGCTGGTTGTAGAACAAAACCATTATTAAATATTTAATTATACAAATTAACAAATGATATTAGAGACAAAAAGAATAAGTACTCAAACATATTACATTTTACCCTTAAATGATTTCCATCCATATGTCTATTGGGTGGAAGTACTTCATAATTTTGTCCCACTGTGAATCTCTTCCTAACTCCATGTTCAGTAACTGCAAGTTGATAGGTAGAAATTTGCCATGGTGAGGATATGTACACCACAGAAATTGTACATCAGAACTCTTTCCCTCCATCAACTGCTAACCTAAAGGTTGGTGGTTTGAACACATCCAGCAGTGCTGAGAAACAAAGACCTGGAGAACTGCTTCCCTAAAGATTAGTCAAGAAAACCCTATGAAGTAGTCCTACTCTGTAACACATGGGTTTGCCCTGAGCTGGAATTGACTGGAATGCAACAGATTTGAATTTTGTGGTTTTGTTTTAAATTGTTGTTAAGTGCCGATGAGTCTGCTTTGACTCATAGCAACCCTGTATAGGGTTTCCTAGGAGTGGCTACTGGGTTTGAACCATCTGTCTTGTGGTTAGCAGTCCAATGCTTATCCTACAGCACACCACTGGGCAAAATTTTTTTTCTTTTTTTTTTTCTTTTGATGTTGCTGTATACATATATTTTGGTTACCATGTTGCCAAATGGAAGAACATTTCCAGAAGACCGTTTCTTCTGGCTCTCTTTTCTCCTGCCCTTGAGATTTACTGCCAGCTTAAGTATTGAGTCCCTGACATGCCCCTCCAAGTAAGTCATTTTCTTCTCTTTTCTCACTCTCATTCTTGTCTCTGTGTTCACTGTGGCCCCTAGGCTCTGTGGACTGAGGTTAAAGCTATTGCTGACAAATCCTAATTGAAAACATTCAGAATTTCAGTCATGACTATTTCTGCTGCAAACAGTTGTGGATAGTGGTTAAGCAAGGTACTGTTGTTGTTGTTATGTGCCGTCAAGTTGGTTCCAACCCATAGCGACCCTGCACAGGGTTTCCAAGGCTGTAAATCTTTATGGGAGCAGAAAGCCTCATCTTTCTCCCATGGAGTAGCTAGTAGTTTCAAACTGCTGACCTTGCAGTTTGCAGCCCGATTTGTAACCACTACGCTACCAGAGCTCCTTAAGCAAGATACTAGAACTATCAAAATGTCATCTTGTTTTTAGTGTGTATTATAGTTGGGTCATGTGTAACTGACCATATGAAATCAAACATTTATATACTAATCAGTTTATTACCAATGTTTTAAAAATGACATTTCCTTAAGTATTCACATATTGAAGATAACAACTAAAAGATATAGTTACATTTGGGAGATCCTCTAAATTACTTAATTAGCCTAGAACTACATCTCTCCGTCTGCCCAAAATGTGTAACTCAAAGTTCTTTCATGATCATAATGTGTTTTTTCATGATCATAACTGTCTTACCATCCATCATAATGGTGCAAAATGTAATAAAACTATTTCATATTTATATATTTTACCAACTATTACATCAAGATATTTGGCAACATATGGACACCTAATTGAAGGGAGACACTCCCCCCCCACACACACACACACACACGCTCCCTTCTCTTTCCCTTTTTAGAGTAATGTGGGACCAGGTTCAGTGTAAAGTCACTCATCTGGGCTTGCAAGTGGTTACCACCAACTCCTGTCTCAGCACAGGGGCAAGATGCCTTTTAGGTGATAAATGTCGGAGGTCTAGAAGTGATATAATTTGTATAACACTAGGTATCCCATCCACCTAATAGATACAGTAGAAGTTGTTCTGCTCTCATCAGTGTGACCAAGGCCCTTCCTTTCATCTTTGTAGGGCATCTTGTGAATAAATGTGTCATGAGTGTGTGTGTGTGTGTGTGTGTGTGTGTGTGTGTGCGTGTGCGCACCATCAGCAAATACCTCACTAGGTATTTGGCTACATCTGGATCACTGATTGAAGGGAGACACTACCTCCCCAGCCCCACTTCCCTTTCCCTTTTAGAGTTACTCCAGGCCCAGGTTAAATGTGAAATCACTTCCTGGATTGTATGGCTTATGTCACCAACCACTGCATTTCGTAGCATGTACAGAAAATGACTCTTAGGAAATAAGTATTAAAAACTTAGAGATCACTGAATTGTTCAGCACCCGGTCTCTCCATCTACCTAAAGTCCATCAGCACAATGAAACCTCTTCCTTCCATCTTTTAGTGCAGATTATGTATATAAATATTTTGTATATATAGATGACCAAGTACTCTAATGAGGTATTTGGCTACATCTGAGCTACTGATTGAAGAGACACATCTCTTCCAGCCCACTTCCCCTGTCCCTCTCAGAGTTGCTGCCAGCCCAGGTTAGATGGAGATTCAACCACCTTGAGGGGCACGTGCAGCTCACTCACCAACAAGCATGTAGTTCATCTCACAGTGAAAGCCCATCACCATGTGAAGACTCAGGAATCACTCCAATACCTGTACTACTCAATTTCCCTGCAAGGAACACAGGCAAACCTGAAGAAAAGAACTGCTGGTGCTTTTTGGACACATCACCAACCTTAGGAAAACCAGTGTGCCATGTGAACATTTCAGATATGCAAACTTAATATTGACACTAAGCATTAGCATGCGTTCAATTGAATATGTTAAATTCCATCAAGTGGTTTCCGAAGCTTAAAATCTTGGAGCCGAATGTCTTATCTTTCTCCCACTAAGCAGCTGGCAGGTTTGAACTTCAGGCCTCATGGTTCACAATCCAGTGTTTATCATATGGAGCCACCATGTTCCTTTCTGTCGAATGTAGCCATTTGAAAATTACAAAGGAATTGGCAGATATTTTCCTTTTTGTCACGGATGTGATGTGGTCAGCCTGCTGTGAGCACTGTGAGGGAGACAGATGGAGAATAAGAATCTTGGATTAATAGAATTGGATGTTTCTGAGTTTGGGGGCATTGAATGGGTGTCTTTTGGCAAAGAATCTTTAGCTGAATTATTTATTGTTAAGTGTCAAGTCAGTACCGATTCATAGCAACCCTGTATGAGGTTTCCAAGGGGCAGTTGGTGAGCTGAACCATTGACCTTATAGCTCAAACCAACCTTGCTGTC